CACACACACACACACACACACACACACACGCACACCCACACCCACCCACCTACCCACCAGCTCTCTCACTTGGACCTCTAATCCCAACATGCATGGTGGACACGAGCTTCATTGCTGGCATATTGTATGTCCCCTGAAGAAGTACCCTGATGATAGATTCAGGGCTGCTATGATCGACTCAGATCGCGTCAAAGTGGTGAGGTTCTGCGTGTTATGCCTGTGCTGCTGGTTTGTGCCGACCCTACTTGACTCCCCCTGTTTCATACAATGTCATCATTTTCCCATTCTGGTCGATCTTATTCCTCCCCACTTCTCATCCTGCTCAACCTTTTGCCCACCACCTTCCTCGTTGCTCGTCCCTATTCTCTTTCTTCTTCTTTCAAGCGATCAGCCTTGTGCCCTTCTCTTCGATTCCGCAACTCGCACAAGATCTACTTCTCACTATCATGCGTTTCAGATGCTGGGAACCGGGCCCAGCACCCCTTATGAACTTTCTGCAGAAAACTTTAAGAGGGCCTGCTTTCGCTCCTTGTGAACAGCAGGTCTCTCCCTCCTCAGTGTGGCTAGCAGGGCTGTGATGAGTTTTCCCGAGGCTGGGCATTGTAGCAGTTCTGCAGACCAGTCAATTAGTAGTAGACCAGCTGCCGAAACTTGTGGACAAATCTTTCGCCATACAAAATATTTTCCAGAATGTCCTAGCACAGGGAACTTTCTGGCGTGCCCCTGAGCATCTGAGCCATATTCAGGGAACTTTCTGGCGTGCCCCTGAGCGGGTGAAGCTATATTCTTCCCTCAATTTCACCTTTCACTATTATCTACCTACAACTACTCCTGAGCCTATACAGGGGACCCCTGCAAGGATCGATACCTCTCACAATTAAGGGGATGCATGTTCGCCCCCGCCCTAATCGGCGGTGATCAGGGAGTAGGGTGGCCCCCCTACCTTTATTTTACAAAACTTCCACCATTTTTTTTTTTTTACTATTATTATTTTTTTAACAGTCCGTGCTGATTCTAGGGATGCTGATAGGAGCAGACACCACTAGCACCCGCTGGAAACCTGCTATTATTATTTTTTTACTATTATTATTTTTTTAACAGTCCGTGCTCCATCTATTGGTGGGGAGCAACACCTGCTGGAAACCGGGTCCAGCTCTGCTGCTGATACCTGAGCAGTCGGTGTCTAGACTCCTCTCTCTAGACCACTTCTTGCAGGACTTCCACCATTGCCAGCGGGTAAGGAGGGAAGAGGTCCCGGAAGACCTGCGGCAGTCTGAGCGGGATCCCTGGAGCGAAACTTCCACCAAATTGAATGCAGAAATTTAGAAAACATATGCACGGAAAATACAGCAGAACTGCAGTATTTATTTACTATTTACAGCCAAGTCCTATGACATGTGGGTTGCTCAGAACAAGTCAGACTTATTGACAATATCCTGGAGTCCATACTGAGATTCCATTCCAGGAGTCCCATACTGAGATTCCGGGAGAGAAGATTCCAGGAGCACTGATTAAGTGACACCGATTGCAGATGTGAAAGTCGAAGATCGGTATCACCCGTTTTTGAGACGTTTCGCTGACATTTTCCCGGACATGTGACATCTGAAATCTCACCCTGACATCTGACGTAATCATCGCCTTCGACCATGAAAATCTCAGCCGACCCTCGTAAAAAAAGTGAAAAAAAAAAAAACACAGCTTTCTTGCCAACCTCATGTTGGAACCCCCCCCCCCCCTCCGACCACCACGATATGACATGCAAAAAGAGGTCGTAATGACCATAATGCCAAGTCAATGGGTGCAGAACTGAAATGTTGTGTCAGCGCGTTGAAATCAATCAGGATGTGAGTTCTGAGGGCATATACCCACAACTAGCTCTCTCTCTCTTAAATGCACCTGACAGTATTTATGGCTCGACCTGGATGTATCTGACCGGAATTACGTCCGTAAATGAGTTGAGAACTAATAAGAAGTCGTAGTGTACGTATGCCCAGAGAAAGTCGCATCGCCCTATTTAGAATCCTCCAAAGGTTCTTGCAAGTCAAAATCCTAAGGTTCTTGCAGGCCAATCAATATTTGAGGTTATGCCTAAGTCTCTAGACTCTCTACCCACCAGCCCCCCCCCCCAAAAAAAGGCAAGGGAGCTGTCAAGCTTGGACTCTATCTAGTACCTAAGGCCATCGCATCAGAGAAAATCGATCTGATCTATCACAGCCTCCAATGTTGTTTTCCAGAGGGTCCTGCCTGATGGGTAATGAACACTACTACAATGATCTTCAAGCACCAGGAGAACTACCTACTACTATTCATTTGCCTATACCATCTAATATCTAAAGTGAAGGACTCAAGGCCAATGAACTACTATCTTCAACCTCTGGAATATCTATTACCTTTACTATGCCAGGTTCGAATATCGTTCTATACTGTCTATAGATTCTATACTATCTATAGTACTAATTTTATTTATTTATCAATGTGGTTCAATCCACCACGGAGTCAAGGACCAGATATCAAATATCAACCTGATCAGAATCGATACGACACTTGATATTATCATATTAGTATGATATTACTATGATATTAGGCAAAAAGAATTATTTATTTTTTCAATGTGTTTCAGTGCATCCCGGACCAGATAGGAACATGATTAGACCCGATACCCCACTTGATATTAGGCAAAACGCCCAGAAAAAAAAGAAAAAAAAACGTTATGTTCTGTACTACTAATCTACTATCTACACAATCTATCTCATCAACAAATTGTGCAGCCTCTAGGCAGCCACAGGGAAAAGGAGTTTAGACGCCCTTTTTGGATGTCCGATCCCTGATGACTATTCTACTCTTTGTGAAGCTGCCACTAACAGAAAGTGCAGGGGGAAAAAAGAAGCTGCCACTAACAGAAAGTGCAGGGGGAAAAAAGAAAAGTGCAGGGGGAAAAAGAAAAGAAAAGTGCAGGGGGAAAAAGAAAAAAAGTGCAGGGGAAAAAAAAAAAAGTGCAGGAAAAAAAAAAAAGAAAGACTGCAGGTAAGTTTTACAAACTTTAAGGTACAGATGGAACAATTATAATAGGTATTGCTATACACGGTCATCCTGCAGACATGCTTGTGCAGCTGCAGCACTTATCTGCAGCACCACTATCATCGATGTGTACACCTAACTACAGCATATGGGGGTATGAGTGTGTCCCATGTGACATGCGCCATCAATGAGTCGAGTGTAATACATTGTGCATTTCACTATTGCAGGACAGAACTCAGTAAACGGCCGCCACTTAATGTGGGAATGTATGTGCCCAAAAACGCAGTCAAGATCCACATGGCTTACGATCAGTGCTAGCTCGCGCCTCTAAATCCACCGACCTGCTGTCCCTCGCCCCATCTCCCCCTCCCTTCCCTCCTCCTAATTGGCCAGTGATGAGCGCACTCGATCGACACTTGGAATGTGGGAATGTATGTGCCCAAAAAATGCAGTCAAGACCCACATGGGTTACTGGATGTGCAACGCGAGCTAGCAGGATCTTGGTCCCACATTGTAGCTGTATCTTGTGCAACTCCGGGTCCAGATACAGATATAATGACCAGGGCGTTCTATTGGGGTGAAGACGGTAGCCTCGAACAAACGATTATGGAGTGGTCTGAACAGATGCAATGTGCATGCTAAGAAATCGCACGTCTGTTACGTCTGCACAAGTGCTAGACCGCAGTCGTGCTACAATGCATGAATCAGAACACAGAGCTGAGCCAGGTTCATGCTAGCTCAGGACAAATGTGGGATCGGTGGGACCGGTCCCTACGTCTCAAGCGGCTAAGCCCATTCTCCCTTTAGCATTCGTTTCACAACTTTGATGTCCGCCGATCGTTCCATACCAAGCACGGAGAAAAGGTCCGCTACAAACGCATGAATCAGAACATAGAGCTAAGCCAGGTTCATGCTAGCTCAGGACAAATGTGGCATCAGTGGGACCGGTCCCAAAGTCTCAAGCGGCCAATAAGCCCATTCTCCCTTTAGCATTCGATTCACAACTTGGATGTCCGCCGATCGTTCCATACCAAGCACAGAGAAAAGGTCCGCTACAAACGCATGAATCAGAACATAGAGCTAAGCCAGGTTCATGCTAGCTCAGGACAAATGTGGCATCAGCGGGACCGGTCCCAAAGTCTCAAGCGACTAAGCCCATTCTCCCTTTAGCATTGGTTTCACAACAGTTACTTTGTCCGCCGATTGTTCCATACCAAGCACGGAGAAAAGGTCCGCACACTGCGGATTGGCGGCATCGCACTGGCTTGTCTCCATTTCGACACCTAACTCCTGCTCCAAGTTGTCGGAGGCTGGGATAAGAATGAACTCGCAACCCTCATGTTCAAGGAACTCCGGAGTTTCCAAAGGTATAAACCGCCGACTTCCAAACGTTTCCTGCAAATGACGCGGATACTGCGCTTTCCGGCCGCTCCTAAAACCACCTCCAGCTCCAACCGGCGCTGGTACCTCGGGGTTCTTGATCTGTATAATGTAACTCGCCTGGCGCTTGATGTGAAAGGCTTGCTGCGGAGGGCCAAGCTCGCCTTTCGGAAACTCCAACGCATAGATAAGGTGTGTGTGCGTCGTCGATCTGGAATGGTGGCGGATCAGCGCGTACACTCCTTCTCCCACTGCTCTTCCCTCCGGCTGGTATCGTTGGCCACGTGTACGTGTCGAGTACGTCGACCCACCTAGTGCTTCCTTCATCTCCTCAGCTTCTTTTCCCGCGGCCTCTACGAAGCCCCAGTACGGGCGCTCGCGCTTCGTTTCGCCTGGATTCGGGAGACTCTTTCGCCCAATCACTAACAGGTTGCATGATGTACTAACCGTACCCTTTCCTCGTTCCTTTGCAGAGTCGTTGGAAGCCTCATGTTTAGCAGCTACAGGTCTTTTAGTTTCATCGTGAGACTTCTCCTCCTCATGCTTGACGGAGTCCTCCACTCCTCCACCAGACCGGTGAGATAGTTGACCTTTGACTCCGCTGCGGTCAAAGGAGGAACCTTGGGGTTTGGATGACAACTTTTCCCATCGTTCATCGTTACCCGCAGACTTGGCACCCTCTCTCTCTCTCGACGGTGTGGACCTCCACACATTTCCTTGCTCGCTCTTCAGCGTCTCTTGATCTCCGACGCTTCCTGCGGCAACTGGCGCAATATCCTCCTCAAAGTCCTTTTTCACGACCTTCTTTTTTGTCCTCTTCTCTGAGTCCTCTTTTTTCACTGGCACCCCCTCCTCCGCCTCCTGCTTCTTGGCTTCAGATGGCGCCTTCTGCTGCTCCTCATCGCCCTCAAGGTTTACACCCTCTCTCTCTCTCGACTCTTTAACCTGATCTGAATCCTTACTAGTCTGCGCGGAGGACACATTTCCTTGCCTCCTCCTCAGCATCTCATCGTCTTCGAAGCTTCCCGCTGCAACTGGTGCAACATCATCTTCCTCAAATTCCTCCTTGCTTTTCTTTACCTTCGTTTCCGTCATCTCATCCGAGATTCGCTCCTCCTCCAGCTTTCCTTCTTTCCCTGTCTCTGTCGATCTTCCAGCCACGTGCCATGGCAGCTCCACCTCCTCCTCCTCCTCTCTCTCAACGTTTCTACCCGCATCTTGGCCCTCCTGGATTTGACACTTCCATTCTGCAAAGCTTCCAGCTGCTACTGTGACTGGCTCCATCTCCTCTCTCTTCTCTCTCTTTATCGTCCTTTTGTTGTGGTCAACCCTTTTTTCATCACCGTGTCCCTCTTTCTGCGACTTCATCTTCCTTCTCGCACGTCGGCTTTCCTCGACGTCTGCAAAGCTTCCAGCAGCCACTGGCACCCCCTCCTCCTCCTCCCCCTGCACACACTTTTTTATTGTCCTTCTCGTTTGCATGACCCTTTCATCACCGTTGTTTCCCTCTTTCTCCGACTTCATCTTCTTCTTTCTACCACGTTCGCTTTCCTCTTCGGCAAAGCTTCCACCTGCAAGAGGCTCTGTACCCCACTCCTCTTTCTTGACTCCATTCTTGTTGCCTGTCACATGCCGGGCATAGTTCCCTCGTTTCTTTCGCTCTGCGTTTCTCCCAACTTTTGTCTGCTTACCGCGGCCGTCCTCGTCTGTCGAGCTTGCAGATACCATAGGCGTCGCCTCCCCCTCCTCCTCTTTCTTCACTCTCATCCTGCCCATATTCTCGTTATGATCCTCCTCAGGACCTGGCTGATTGCTCTCGCTGTTTTCTTTGCTGTTGCTTTGCTTGCTATGGTCATCATCACCTCTTATTGAATCCTTCCCCTCCTCCACCCCCTCATTCTCCCTGTGGGGTCGTAGCAGGATATAGAACCTCTGTACTTGACTGAGATCATGTGGATCATCCGTGTCAACCTTAGGCTTATAAAAGAAAAAAATGTCTCCTTTCTGAAGTACTTCAACCACTGAGCTGCCTGGTTTCCGTCGGACCTCTCCCATCTTTCTGCCAGAAATTCTCAGCCAGACACCGACAAGTGGTCCTCAAGCACACACCTCGGGCCCTAGGAGGCTTGACACATACAAGCAGGCAACCAAGCACACATGAGAGCACGCACACGCACACGCACACCCGGTTTTATGGCTGTGAGCCTGTGACAGACTAATTTCACATACTTACTGTCATTCTTGTCAGGGGTCAGGCGCCAGGGGTCAGGGGTTGGCAGCGGCAGTCTGCTAGGATTTCAGGGTTGGTGTGAGTAAAGTCAACCACTTTTCTCGGATGTACAGCCAATGCTGCGCAACCTGAAAAGTCCTTATCGATCAGTCAAATGCATCCTGGGCAGACTCTTGAGGTTCAACTTCCTGATTAGTCAGTGAAAATCCGACGAAAAAAAAAATGGCGCAATGATGCTTCTTTTTGTGGAGTTGTACAGCAGACAGGACAACACGCACACGCACACGCACACACACACACACACACACACACACACACACACACACACATACGCACAATCATAACCTCTTTCCTTCCTTCCTCTCGTTGTCAGTAGTCATCCACTTTTAGTGTGCTCTGGACTTTTTCCATGTCCTCATCACTGACGAAGTGTAGCTCTCTCTCTCTCTCTCTCTCTCTCTCTCTCTCTCTCTCTCTCTCTCTCTCT